GCGAAATAAGTTACCGGCAAGATAAAAATATGGCGTTCACACTGACTATTCAATCATAATAGTTTTATAGGCACTGGTTCAGAAAGCTGTTCATAGACTCATTAATACTAATGCACAATGAAGAAACGATGATGAAAAAAAAAATGAACCACTATAACGAAGCAAAATTGCACGAAAATAACGTCACGCGAGGCGTTACACTCACTAGACAAGCACGGATGCGTGCACTCGCCCTGTTGTCCTGTATGTCTCGTGCAATGCTTGTTCTCACGAAAATTTCTTTAGCACTCATTAACAGCTAGCTTAATAGTTAGTTCTGATAAGCAACATGCCTATTATATTGAGATACTTCCTATTTTGATGTTGCCGATATTCGAAACAGAAAAGACAATTTTTACCCAATAACGACCTCGTTACCGTTATGTTCCGGAAAGGACAGAAGTGCGATAAAACTTTATCATACCTCATGCATGGAGCGCGTATGACCGACAGGCTTTTGTCTCAGCATTCGTCATAGATACGAGTGTGAGTAAAATACAATTATAATAAAACATAGCTAAAAATTAAATTCGAGCCACGTAAATGGTGAAAGAAATGCCAGTAATGCTACTAAAGAGGCATATTACGCCATTGGATAAAAACCTACAGAATAACAACAGCGGGTTATAGGTGGTAAATGAACTATTTGCCACCGACACTTGATGGCAATATGCGGTCAGTTTTGTCCTTTTCGAGCACCAGATGTCGCCATCAGTAGCATCCAATCTATAAGACGTATATGCTACTGACTGTAAAATTCGCGCAGGTTCGTCAGCGCAGGAGTAATAATGCCGGAACTGACGCGTCTGGGCTAAAATTAAAGTGCCATACGCCTGCCCCGAGAAATGTTCATTAAAGTCACAACCAAGAGAGCGAAATGAAAAAAAAAAGCAGTGAAGGATTCTACAAAAAAAGATAGGCCACCTGCAGAGTGCGAAAGCATCTCTACCAATGTCACTGGCTAGCTTTTTCCCAGGTGACGGAGGCATTAGACGCTGTGCAGGTCCCGTGTCAACAGCAGCAAAGACACGCGTGCAAGGAAAGCGAAAGTACTTTCACGCTGTGCGGCAATTCATTCCTTGGAGAGAGCAGCGGTGATCTTGATGAAAATGGAACAGCCGTTCACCGTCCTTTCGTTCTCATATAATCCTAGGATTTCAGGTCCATGCGATTGATTGCGCACTGCCTCGGTTTTTTTTTTTCTTTTGATCGGTCAAGACCACCCGGGCCATTCCGTTCAATACTGTGCCTCAAGTCACACATTGTGCTCGTCTCAAGACCGAGTGACATTGCCTAATGGGGTTCTATGAATGGAATGTTTGAACACGTTGCAAACCAGGTGGACCGCAAGCCGACGCCTTCTAATAGAAAATTTGCAATCGTTGGTAGGCCAAACCGCGGCTTGTCATGTGAATTCCAGGCAGAATTGCTTTCAGCAGCTCCATGGGGTGGTGAGTAAACCATCAAGGTGAAAGCCTTTGATGCTTCACCAAACACAAAAATTAGCCATCGTGCCGCGTCGGCGGCGTCAACGCGAACGATGCAAAACATCATCACTACGTGATCACTATACGACACCATTATGACGTCATACATAATCACTTTTGTAACATCATCAAGACATCACTACGAAGTGTCCTCACGTGGTGAGGTCATCATACGGCATCATCGCTTAGTGAAAGGTGAGCCGATACAGGAGGTGATGCAAAACAAGGTGGGATGCGGTAAAATTCCAGAAGCGGGGGGGGGGGGGTGGAGGCATTCAGTGGTTCGACACACATCACCTTCAAAAAAAAAAAGAAAATGCCTCTTACCTTTGAGCAGACAGAGACAATTGCGTAAGATATTTTGTCAGTTTTTTTTTTTTTCACTTTCTTAGTCACCTCTACTGAACCTAAGTTTGATGGTGCTGGCAACAACGTTTCAAAAGGGATGGTGCCCCTTTCATTACATCGAATTGTTTCAAGGACACGAGATGGGAAAAATAAAGCGGTAATTGAACTCTTCCTTAGGATGCGGTTCCCTCTTAATAATGTCATTACCCACAGAATGAGCAGGCAATATAGTAGGCGAGGTTTTACAAAAAGTGGATCGCAAAAGAGGATATATTTTCAGCATAGAGTTTCATTAAAAAATACCTAGAGAGGAATCTGGCGCTGCGATTATGGGATGTACAGGCTTCGTATCGGATAGGGTTGGCGGAGAACTGTCTACAGACTTTCTTCTACAGTTTCAGTTTTGTTCTTCGCGCAGCTTGGTTAATGGGGTGCATTAAAAAGCGCTGAAGCAGCGCCTTTGCAGTTCAAAGAGACTGAACAACACTACTTCTGAAGTTTTCTGCGAGGTTGAACTTTTACGAGTCGTATTTGTCAGCTTAAACGAAGCGTCGTCCACTCACCGCTGCGCATACATGTAGCGTCTCAAGTCAGTTCAGGTTCATGTTATTTTCATGAGCGCGTCTTGCCCAAACTCGTTTTAAGTGGACTTCAAAACGATGACAAAGATAACTAGACGCACCGTCATGCTCTGCTGACTCGACTTCACAACAAACCTGAGGTGCGTTGGAGGCAGACCACTTGGACAGACGCACCTAGCATCGAAAAAGACGAAACGATAAGTGTTTCTTGCTTAATACTGTGCTGTTATTTCCTTAACTAGATAATTCGTACTTTTCAGAGAAAACAAGCCTGCTTGTTTCTAAGTGTATTAAAAATCAATTCAATAAATCTAATTTGGGACGCAATGGCGGAGCAATGCATACCCTGGTGGTTATATTGGCGCAGTTTTAACTTTTGCCACCTTGTCACAAAATCTTTTTGCTATAAAGTTTGCGCACAAATAAATGAAGCACTTTTCAATTAAATAGAAGTTCATATCACTTTGTTTTACTCTTGAAAAGGAAGTGTCGCGAATATTAGGAACGTGATTCATCCGAAGCAGATCCGAAGCCTGTACTTCCCATAATTCCCATGGGGGCACAAGCGCTGCTAAAAGAACCCGCGTATACACTAGCGCGAGATTCCCTCCTAGGTATTATTGTATGAAACTCTATAATTTTCAGTGAAACCACTGATCAATGTAACCATCTAATCACAATGAGCAACACACATGCATATAACAGTAAAAAAATAAAATTGCAATAAATAAATCACGAGAAAGAATAGCTAAACGTGACCATTGTAACGGAAAAAAAAGAATTCGACATTACTGAGGAAAGGTTTGAAGACCATTGGTTCCATTTTCAGATTCTTTTAGGAAAAACAGCACCTTGAAATAGTCAGTGTTGCACATCGTTTCTCATATCTTGAAACTGTGGTCATGACGGTCTGAGACATAGTGTGTGTTGCAAATAATTAGTCTGCCTTATCAATTCAGACATGACAATGATAGACAGCATGAAAGAAACTCAATCACAATTTACTACATTAATTGCGTAAGCAATTTCAACCCAATCTTGCCCAACTCGCCGCACCGATATATTTGTTGTATATTCCTGATACAAACTGAGCCACAAAATTCTGGGCCCTTTTCAATCAATATCTGTCTTGTTTAACTTGAGGGTACAGGCCTATTCCGGATTGTATATAACATTGTCATTGTATAGTAAATCTTTATTAGGAACAGGGAAAGATATAGCATTTCACCGCAAAAGCCTCAGCATTTTGCCAGCCTTTGCTGTAACGTAATCAATCTGTGTCTGCCTCCTTAGCTTAAACGCAAAACAATTCCTGGGCTATTTGTGTTTGGTCACTTATTTTAAATTTTATTATTTATTAGGCAACTGCTCACATGTAAATTTATTCTTATAAGTATTGTGCAAAGTGATTTAATTAAATTTAACTTCATATCTCATTTTGTACGTGCACCATTACCTAAGCATGTCTATATAGGTCATAATTTCTACGTTGAATATTCTGTTAGGCAGTAATCGTAAATTGTGCTTGCTCTGGCTAATTTTTCCTCTTTGTGCTTCTTTTACAGTGGGATTACCCCTCCGTGAGAGTTTTTGTTGGTTTATTTCGGCGTTACTAACGAAATAATCGAGCAAGAGGCAAGGGAAGTTTTTGTCACACATTTACAGAAAGCGGTGCACAAGGAAAAGCCGTAAATTCCCACTGCTTCGGGAGGTAATCATGAAATAAGATTTTAAGCTCTGAGTCTTCCACTTTGTCGCCTCGCATATATATCCATAATGTGGATCTTAGACTACATTTCCATAATCTGAGAGCCTTCGTTCCCGAAAAATGCTACTCTCTTTATTAAGAACACCCTTGGGCCCAGCTGCATTTGAAAACTTAAAGCTCGAACTAATCTACCAAAAATAACAAAAAAAAAACGTTTCGACGCATTAAATTATAACTGTCAATTGAAAAAAGCCCATTGCAAGATAAATATAGCCAAAATACTTGCGTTTTCATCAGGATGCGCAATGGGACGAAGGCCTGAGCTCATGCTAACGCTAACTCGCAACGGGTGGTTTAAATATTATTCGTTCCGCGGACGACGAATGACCTTTGCAGCCATCTCCATCATATTTTTTTTCTGCACCCTCAAGAGTGCTTAAATTTATACAACTAAGCACTGAAACCCCTTCATTCATCGAATTAGCTTTGTGCTGCAGAATGTAACTGCGACTTGCGTTGAATTGTTTTTAACAACTATTTTAGTTTTACACACTGACTTTCTTGAATTTTTCGCTTTTCATTTTCTGTTATCTTCAAACCAACCCTGCCAAAATATTTAAAAGGGATTGCAGAATATATAAATGAGTAAGTATATGTAGAATAGTGAAGAGCTCTTCAAAAAGCAGGAGTCGGGTAACTATAACTCTTGTCATCCACCTGCCGACATTGCAGGTTGGTGACACAAATAGTCCTTTCCATGGCTTCATATATAAATAAGGCACACTTATTTTTTTTTCTTTTGTAACAGAATAAAGAGACAAACAGAACGTGTCGCACCGTTTTTAGACGCTGTAGCAGAGCCTCCCCGTTGGTCCAGTTGGAAGGCGCCTCACAGGAGAAGGACTTTAATTCGAAGTTTTCTACATGCTCCATGTCGTGAAGTGCTCGGGCAAATAAAGACACCGCGTCGAACAGCAGAGCCAGCTCTGTCTGGGAACGAAAGATTGCAAAAGAAAGTAAGGGGTCAGCTACGTTTTCAAGTAAGCTGTATCTGTGCGAAACTGAGGTTGCTAATCTATCGTATTCTAATTCTAGCGCATCTGCCCAAGCGTAACATAATGGTTCTGTTCGTCCTGTTTTAACTGGCTTGCTGTGTAGAGGTCGAGGCATGTATTACTTCGGCAACTCTATTTGTGTATACTTCACAGCGAACTCGGAGTTACATCCAGGCTATCTAAGCAAAACAAGCGCATTGAGAACTATTTTAGTATGAATGGATGCCATGAGTCACGCTGACAATTTGGGTAAGATCACCCTCGGCCAGTGTGTTAAGACGTTGACCAAATTGCCCTTGTCCTACTGGAAACGCACCAAATTAGTCATACGCGTAGAAACGACGTGTCAAAGAAATTATTAATCAGTTTCACGGCCATAAGAAGTATTACACTTTACGAATAATACAGTGAAAAGGCAGTGGACTATATGGGAGGCGTGTTTAAAGAGGATAGCGTGCCCGCCAGCTGTTGTCGCTGACCGTGAGGTCATGGGTTCGACTTCCGCTGATGGCACATTTATCTTCTGATCAGAGATAATTTTAGACATTTCCGTGACATAAATACGCCTCTAAAATCTTAGTGCACCCCGGCATCAAACACTTTCGTGTGAAAAGTTTGAAAATTCTCACAAGAAATAAATATTCAGCAACTAATAATTCAAAGCAACATGAAACAAGAAAACGTGCCATGGGAATGCATAGTTCCCTTTCCAAAGCTCACATTGCAAGAAAGCCTTCGCAGGTACACATTTGTACTTCTGCCCACCGAATATGAACTAAAGGTCAAACCGCATGCACAAAATTTTCGAGCGACAGCGACGAGCCACAACGGCAAACTTGCTCCATCCTGTCGTCGCGTTGCGACCGCTGCAACCACACGTCAGCGGCAAAGTGTAATTATTGCTAGATTTATAACTGTTGCGTATATGCCCATGAATTGTGAAAAGAAGTCATGAATAGGGTAGATCACAACACCAAGGTACCCAAAAGCATTTATGATACGACGGTTACGACGCACTTCGCATGACGATTTCACATTGTAGCAAGTGATCATAATTGCCACTAGCTACCATCGAAACATCGAAAGAAACTTTCGATAACAAGATTTAGAACGAAATGCGGCCGCTGTTTCACTCTCCGCGTGAGATGCGAATGTGAGAAGGGTGGTCGATGCCTTGCGTTCCTTGAAGTGCGCGCGGATATCAAGCATCAAGAGCAAATTGCAACCAAAACGGGGATCATGGGAGCAATCATGTATGCAGAACTCGTCAAGCTGGCTTCAGGGCGACAATCGCTCTTTTCTAGTTTCTCAGAAACGCGTGACACGACAAACAACCGCTACAAATGGGCCTCCACGACAGCAAATCCTGTCGCTCGTTCTTGCTGTTTGTCGCTTTCTCTAGAAATTAACGTTTATGTGGTTGGGCCTTAAAAGGGCGCTGCAACAATTTTTGAGCATGGTCAGAAAACGGCGTCGATTGGCAGTAAATGCGTGGGGAACACGTGAGCCAAATAATATAGCGCAGCACGCTGTCTGGAATTCACAACAAATTATCAAAGCATGCCTCAAATTGCTTTTGTTTTTCTCAAAAAAAAAAAACGACGGAAGATGCCCGAAAATCATTCGTAGAAGGCCATCTATCAGTCGTTGGCTGATTTGAACGTGGCGCGCTCGGTTCATAGAGGAATCATCACGGAAGGCTGCGACTTGTCCACGCGTGCACGCGCGATCACACTGAAAAAGCCGCGTATTCAAAGAAAAAAGAAAGATAAAAACAATGACGGATGGCTGCGTCTCCATGTTTTAGGGTTGCTTTGTAGAACAAAATAAAGAAAACGTGTTCGTTACACGAGTTTGTGTAAAATACCGTTAAAACAGTTCGTTTTCTCACCGGGTAGAGCCACAGAATTGGCGAAGTAAGGATATTTATGGAGCTTATATTTGCGAGGGGAATACCTCGAGGTCACTGTGAACAGATTTCAATATCTCCGCGGTACTTCTGAAGCAAACTCATTTTATAACTGTAGACACATTAAAGGCCTTCAAGTGCAAGGCTCGAGATTATGCAGTACTATATGATGGTACCCATATCGACAGGGAAAGCAAACCTGTTAGCTCAGGATGTTCTCTGTAAACCGCATAATTACCCTAGCCTGTTTCTCATAACCTAAATCTTTCTTTTGTCAGTCATATAATTTCCTGCAGCAAGTTTAGTTCCTGCGAACGAATCTGCACAATGGATTGCTTAAAAACCTCAGAAGCCGTAAGCATTGCCAGAAAATTGTAGGACACTCAAACGTATTACACCAACCCTCCCCCTCCGCCTCACAAGCTGCCAAATATTAGACTAGAATAAAAGGAAAGAGGAGCAACAGGGGACAAACCATGTTTTTCTAGGTCAGATTTTAATGCAAACAGCATCCAAACAGCATCTGGCCTCAATTTATTCAGACCGTCCTGCCTCCTTTGCTGGATGTTTGTCTCCTCGCAGTGGGCCTACAATAAAGCAATAAGTCAAAAAGTGATACGCAACTCTCACCACCTATACCGAGCCCATACAAATTTTCTCTAAGAGCACTAAATAAAAACTCAAATTATCACCGCATCAAATTATCTTTGTGGCGATCATCTGCCAGCAAAGGAAGACGTGAACGTGAGCGTCTGTTGGTGGTTTGCGGGCCTGGCGTTTCCGGCTACGAATGAGGCGAGGGCTTTGGGAACCGATGAAACGCAGAACGTGGATACATGCAAGACCACACGTTCGACTAGTTAAATCATTCGATTAGTGAACTGCGCTTCGATTACGAGAAGAACAAGCATACTCAAGTTAACGAACTTTCGCTTGCATAACCCGGTGTAGCCAAACGAAGCCTGATCCATTTTTCTTAATGTGCAAGTTCTCGTGATTACTTTGCTCAAACTGCTTTTTGTCGCATAACCAAGCCAGGTATTTCACGAAATAAACGGTGATGTACTCAATCCACTCGTAATAAAAAGTTGGCAGATTCCACGTACAGTTGGAATTGTTGATTGATATGTGGGATTTAACGCCCCAAAAACCACCATTTGATGATGAGAGACGCCGTAGTGCAGGGTTCTGGAAATTTCGACCAGCTGGGGTTCTTTAACGTGCACTCAAATGTGAGCACACAGGCGTACAACATTTCCGCCTCCATCGGAAATGCAGCCGCCGCAGCCGGGATTCAAACCCGCGACCTTCGGGTCAGCAGCCGAGTACCTTGGCCACTAGACTACCGCGGCGGGGCGTACAGTGGTAAACGGTGATATAGGAAGCCCGAATGAGAAATGTTGATATGTGATTTTAAAATCAGCACAACGTTACGAGGTGGAGGTAAATGATGCCGTAAATGACTTCCGTGTCATTATTATCATGTTTGGATGTGTCGTTTACCTTCGTCATCTATGCACGTCACGTGATACCAAATTTGGTATATGTGGAGCTAGTGAAACGGCCACGAGCACGCTATGAGCGTGGTATGTTGTCACCTTCTTACATAACACGAGTGTCAGGATTATCATGTTTGAACGAGTCATATATTTCGTCATTCATTGACTTCACATAACACCAAACTTGGTATATGTGGAGCTAGCAAAACGGTCGTGAGAGCCTCATGAAAGGCCCAAAATACTCCTATATAGCGTTGACGCGCGCGCACACTGGACATAGCGACGCTACGTTAGCGAAATGCGGGCACTCTATAGTCTGACGCCAGGCGCGACCAGCGTCCGTCGGCGCAGCCCAACGGCAACCCGCGCGAAATGCGACATGCTGCATATCGCGCCGATGCGTTACCCAGACAACCCTGCGTCTCCCTATTTTTGTAACGGAGGGACGCTGGACGCGCTGAAACGTGCATGCGTCAAAGCAACGCAGTGCGGCGCGCGCCTGCAAGTGTACATGGCAGGACCGGCGCCTTGCGGGGCAACACCGGTGTGACCCGACGAAATGAACGCCAGCGAACACGCGCACCGCGTCACGTCAAAATGTATTCGCGCCTTGACTGTGGCATGTAGTCATGTTCTCACATGACACGCATCTCAAGATTATCATGTTTGCTCCAGTCGTCATCCATTGGCATTACGTAATTACATATTTGGCATATGTTAAACTAGCGAAACGGCTGCGAGCGCATCATCAGTGTGGCATGTAGTCATGCTGTTACATGACACGCATGTCGTGATTATAATGTTTGGATGTGTGATTTGCATATGTCGTCCGTTCGCGTCACGTAATATCAAATTTTGTATAAGTGAAGCCGGCGAAACGTCCACCAGCGCATCGTGAGCATGGCATGTAGTCATGTTGTTACTCGACACGCATCTCACAATTATCATGTTTGCTCGAGTCACATACCTTCGTCAGTCATTCACACATTGTATTACCAAATTTGGTATATGTAACGCTAGCCATACGGCCGCGAGCGCATCATGAGCGTGGCATGTATACATGCCACGCTCATATATATGACATGCCTGCCATATATATATATGACATGCCTCATATATATGACATGCACGCTCATATATATGACATGCCTGTCATGTAACAACATGACTATAGTCATGTTGTTACATGACAGGCATGTCATAATTTTTATGTTAGGGTCCATCGCTTGTGTTCGCCATGCAATCATGCCATACCATACCAGTTTTGCAACAAGCCATGTCAACGAAACCACCGCAAGAGCTGCAGGAACATAGAATGTAAATCACGACATTCATGACATACAAGTCATGATTATCATGTCATAACTAGTCAAAGATGTTCTCCCTACAGTCATGGTATGCCATACCAAGCGTGGTATCGATACCATTATCGAAAGGGCCAGGACAGCTAAACGTTTTAGGTGGCTAGATAGATAGATACGCTTGAAGTCGCCAAAGTTCGCTAAGAAATGCTGGGCATTTAAAACG